TTTTAAAGATTTATTTACTTATTTGAGAGAGAGATTGAGCATGCACAGAGAGGGGAGGTGCAGAGGGAGGGAAAGATGGAATCTCAGGCAGATACCCTGCTGAGCACAGAGCCTGACAGGGGGCTCAATCCCATGACCTCAAGATCATGACCCAAGCCAAAACCACAAGTTGGATGCCCAACTAAATGAGCCATCCAGGTGCCCCTCCAACTTATATTTTCCAGTTTCTTTGGCTTTTGTCACGTGTTTTTTTTAAGTTATTTATTTTTAGTTTCAGCTTTATTGAGGTATGATTGATGAGTAAAGTTGTAAGATATTTTAAAGTGTAGGGATGCCTGGGTGGCTCAGTGGTTGAGCATCTGCCTTCGGCTCGGGGTGTGATCCTGGAGTCCTAGGATCGAGTCCAACATTGGGCTCCCTGCATGGAACCTGCTTCTCCCTCTGCCTCTCTCTGTGTGTCTCTCATGAATAAATTTTTTAAAAAAGATATTTAAAGTATACATTGTGGTAATTTGATACACAGTATATTGTGAAAGGCCTCCCTCCATCTAGTTAATTAGCAAAACTTATATTTTCTTAATCAAAATTTCACACATTATAAATGAACTTTAGTGTCATTTTGTCACGTTTTCTAAAAATCCTCAGCATTTTAAATCAAGAGTTTAACATAGATTCACTATTCTACAATATAGCATCTTTCTACTCAGTAATGGTTAGAATAGTGCTTTCGTATATTTAGACATTTAGGATCCTTACTTAAATAGGCTTTTAAAGTTTTCTTCATGTAGGTCTTCAAGTTTTCTGGTAGGTTTATTCCATGACCTTTTTACTTTCTTTTATTAAATTATATGTGTAGAGATATATCACACACACACACACACACACACAGGGGGTGGGGGAAATGTATAAAGCAAACATATAGTAGAACAAATTAAGTTTAATCCCATGCAGTCATATTGCCAGTATTATAAAAGTCCTAATATGTTTCTTGGTTCAGTGTATATTCTACCTCCATGCCCTGCTACCTTCCTTCTCCCACCTACTTCCTGATTTTCATGATGATCTCTTGCATGTCTCTATAGTTTTATTATCTGTGTGTGTATCTAAATAATAGTTTGCTTTTGCCTGTTTTTGAACTTTTATTGAATGGAATCTAATTGAAAACACTTTTTCTGTTCACATCACTTCTGATACAGCAAATATGTGGAGAGTTTTTCCTTATACCATCTAATTCTCTAGTTCTCTTGACATCAACTGGGTGTCCTACAATTTAATTCAATTCTGATACTACCTGGCATTAGTGTAGAACCAACAGGTTAAGGGCTCAGTCCCATATGACTCCCCCCACCATTTCAAGTAGTTGCAAGTATTTGGGCCCCTGGTTACCCACCACTCTAATTTGGCTAAAAAATGGGGGTTCCCATGACTCCCTTCCTAAGTTTTGATAATAATGGCTCACAAAACTCAGAGAAACATTTCACTTTCTATTACCACTTTATTATAAATGATGCAATAATAAAGCCAGATGAAGAAATACATAGGGCAAGGTCCAGAAGAGTCCTGAGTGCAGGATTTTCATTTCCCCCCCAAACGGATAACCAGTACCATTAATTGAAAGTCCATCCTTTTCCTCCTCATCTTTAATACCACCTCTAACATAAATCAAATTTTCCTATATGTATGGGTCTTTTTATAAACTTGCTCTTCTGTACCATTTGTCTGACTAGTACCAGTACCACACTGTCTTCTTTAGAAATGTCTTGGCTATTCTTGGTGAGCTCAAGGAGGGGCTCTATCTCAGGACCCTGAGATCACGACCTGAGCCAAAATCAAAAGTCGAACGCTTAACTGACTGAGCTACCCAGGCACCCCAAGAATTTATTTTTTCTTCTTAAGAATGGATGCTGAGGGCAGCCCGGGTGGTCCGCCGACTTCAGCCCAGGATGTGATCCTGGAGACCCAGGATCAAGTCCCACGTCTGGCTCCCTGCCTGGAGCCTGCTTCTCCCTCTGCCTGTCTCTGCCTCTCTCCCTGTGTCACTCATGAATAAATAAATAAAATCTTAAAAAAATAAAAAGAATGGATGCTGAATGTGTTATCAAATGCTTTTTGGTGTCTTCACATGATCATATGATTTTTTCTTTATGTGGCAAACTATATTAATTTTTTAAATGCTAAACTAGGTATGATTCCTAGGGAGATTCACCTTGGTTTGCTGGACTTAGTTTATAGTGTTTCATTTAAGATTTTTATGTCTGTGTGCAGACGTGATATTGACTTATAATATTTCCTTCTTGTACTTTCAGATTTTGGATCAAGTTTATGCTAAGTCATAATATGAGTTGGAGGTATCCCTTCATTTTTTATTCTTTTAAATAGCTTATATAAAGTAGAATCATTTTGTTCCTTGAATTTTTAGCAGAACTCTCCTTTTAAAATCAGTTTGATCTGGAGTTTTTTGAAGGAAAAATTTCAACTACTGATTTCATTTCTTTATGGTTAAGGAGCTATCTTGATTTTTTTCTTTTTTCTTAAGTCAACTTAAAAAATATCTTTTCACTATGGAAAATTTCAAACATGACAAACAGAGCAAACTATATGATGATTCCCCACATACCCATCACTCAATTTTTTGAGACAGTTTTGCTAAGCTTTATTTTTCCAGGGATTTATCTATTTCATCCAACATCCCAAGTTTTTTTTTTTTTTTTATGTAGGATTGTTCACAGCATCTTCTCATCTTTTTTATCTTAAGAACATCTGTAATTTTATCCCTTTTTCATTCTTAATATTAGTTATTTGTGCCTTCATTGTCTTAATTTTATCATGTTTGCTAATTTTAATAATCTTTTAAAAGAACAAACCTGTGACATTTGCACTTCTCTGCTGTGTTTGTTCTCTGTTTCATTCATTTCTGCTCTTGTTATTATTTCATCTGTTCTGCTTTGAGTGTATTCTGTCCTTTTTCTGCTACCTAAAAGTGTGTGCTTAGCACATTAATTTTCTTCCATTCTTTTCTAAATGTCTAAGTGTAAATTTTTTTCTACACAATTATTTTGCTGCCTGTTACATTTTAATATCTAGTATTTTTGTTACTGTTCAATTCTGAAATTTTTCTAGTTTATATGATTTGTTCTTTGACCTATATGTTATTTTGTCATACTTCTTAATTCACAGTTGTATGGAGTTTGTCTTAGTTACTTTTTTGCATTGCATTCTAACCTAATAGTATTTTGGTCTGAGTGATAATCTTTTGATGTTGACTAAGATGTACTTTGACTCCTGGTATGTGATAAATTTTTGTAAATATTTCATGTAATTGTGCATAACTATTCTGAGTCCTTTAGATGAAGCTTGTTAAATGTGTTAGAATCTTCTGTATCCATAATAATTTCTTTGTTTGCATGATCTATCAATCAAAAAAGACATGTAAAAATTTCTCACAATGACTGGATATTCCTTTTTCTCCTTGTACTTGTATCTATTTTTGCTCTATGAAGATTATGTTATTAGGCATACAGTTTTGAAATTATTATATCTTGATAAATCTTTTATTGTATAGTAGCCTCTTTATCTCTAGTAATGCTATTTTCATTGAAATCTATTTTGTCGGGATCCCTGGGTGGCGCAGCGGTTTGGCGCCTGCCTTTGGCCCAGGGCGCGATCCTGGAGACCCGGGATCGAATCCCACATCGGGCTTCCGGTGCATGGAGCCTGCTTCTCCCTCTGCCTGTGTCTCTGCCTCTCTCTCTCTGTGACTATCATAAATAAATAAAAATTAAAAAAAAAACATTGTTTAAAAAAAAATCTATTTTGTCTGATATTAATATAGGTATACTCACTTCTTTTGGTTGCTTTTTTCTTGTTCTATCTCCTCCCATGTTTTTACAAATATATATATATATATATATATACTTTACATAAATATATATATACTCTATCTATCTATCTAGATATCTATATAGATTAATAGATGTATCCATTCTAGCTTTTATTAGGTTTGTTGATCAGAGTATCTAGCTAGCCCTTCTGATTAGAAATGGAATTTTTTTTTTAAATACTGGAGTTGATTCTAATAATACCATATAGGGGATATTTGCAATCGTGTTCATCAATGAGCCTGATCAGTAATCAGGATGATATTATTTGTCATCCATACTGAAGCAGCTTTGAGAGTAAAAGGGAGTACAATATTGTCCCAGGCTTATGGCACAGAAATTAATTATAGTACCATTGGCTAGATCATCAGGATTTATGAACTGCCCAATCATTTTGGCAAGTAATGGAGGTAAAGATAAGTTTTCCAGTAATTAATCTAGTTAGGGCTCAGATTTACCCTGTTGGTTTTATAACTGTTATTGTATTACTCTGCATATCTGACTATAAACTGATTATATATTGAATGAGGTTTTACAGAGAAAGAAGGAAACAGACCTGGGTTTGAATGTCTGTCTCTGTGGCTTAATTGTATAATCCTTAGGTAATGACCTAACCTCTCTGAACTCCATTTTCCCCATCTGTATAATGAAAATTATAATGCCTACCTGATAGGAATATTGTGAAATTAAAGATATGTGAAAGCACTCAGTATGTTCTTAGCACATAGCAGATTCTCTTATGTTAGCTTACCTTCTTTAGTTTCTGCTGCAAATTATCCTGTGTATTTGCTTTTCCAAACAAAGGTTGCTTTTTCTCTTGTGACTTAAGGTTGAAATCTTCCCTACTACTCCCCTGTTTACTTTGGATCAGAAAAAATTTCCCACTATGCCCTCAGTTATATGCATGTGGCATTTGGATAATTTAAGAAGATATAGAAATTGACAGTATTGACAGTAGTAAAATTTTGACCAAAGGAAATAGATTAATGCCTATATTATATAAAATGTTTATCAGTGAAGTGAAAAGGTAAAATATGATTATCCTTAAAAGCTCTAATGTAAATCTTAGATAAAGCAAAGACTCCCTACTTGACCTTTTATATTCTCACAATCCTTTAACAGGACTTCATTGACTTAACTAGAGAAACCAGACCAAGGACAAAGGATCGCAGTGGACTCTGTGTGATTGACCTGACGAGAACTGAAGAAGAAAATAGACCTATTGCCACACTTGACTTGACTCTAGAACCTGTTGCTCCCTCCCAGAAAGAGCCAACTAATCTTCAGACATGTGCCAGCCTCTCCAGCAAAGAGGTGATGGAAGGGCGGGTAGACAGAAGCTCTTGGCCTGCAGCACGGAGAATCATTAACAGCGATCCTGTGGATTTGGATCTTTTGGAAGAAACCACATTTGAAGGTCCACAACCCCCTACATCCATCAGTGGGAACTCTGTTTATTCAACAGAACCAAATTGTAGCTCAACTACATTCAAAGGTGATCTTGGCTTCTTGGCAAGCCTACAGCTATCTTCAGATGTTTGCTCCTCCTCCCCAACAAGCAATAACAGTAGCAGCAGCAATCAGAGGACACCCTTGCCATGCCCACAGCAAGATGTGCCTTGCCCACCACAAGCCTTGCCGTGCCCATTTCGAGCCTTGCCATCCCCACTGCGAACCTCACCATGTCCACCACGAGCCTCCTCATGCCCACCACGAGCCTTGTCATGCCCATCACAAACCATGCAGTGCCAACTACAGGCTTTGCCTCACCTGCCTCAAGAAGTTCCACGCCCTCCTCAAGATATGCCATGCCCACAGCAGACTGTGCCAAGCCCACCTCCAGACTCATCATGGCAACCTCAGCACTCACCCAGCCCACCTCAAGACTCACTGTGCCCACCTCAAGATTCTCCTCTGGGCCTACCTCAAGATGTACCAGGCCCACCTCAAAACATATCATATCCACAAGATGTGGCACATTTACAAGATATGCCACGTTCATCAGAAGATGTACCACAGTCACCAGAAGACGTGCCACAATCACCAAGACACGTGCCACAGTCACCAGCAGACATGCCACAGTCACCAGCAGATGTGCCACAGTCACCAGGAGATGCACCACAGTCACCAGAAAGTGTGCCACATTCACCTGGAGAAGTCCCAGACTTCCCAGGAGATATGCTCCATTCACCTGGAGATAGGCCAAGCTTGCCAGGAGACATGCCACACTCATTTGGAGATTTGGCTCCGTTACCACGAGACAGGCCTTACCCTCTCCAAAATGATGTACAGAACCATGACACTCCTATGGAAGTCTTAGCTCCATCCTCTCCAAGGTTCTCTCCCAGTCCACAGTCTCCACAGTCTGAAACTTCCTTAGAGAAAGTTCCTTGGCTCTCTGTCACAGAAACTCCAGCCAGAAAAGAGAGATCAGTGTCAGAGCCTGCTAACCCCAGGTCTGCCCAGGTACAAGCACGAACACCACAGGGTGGGTTATACAACAGACCATGCCTGCATAGACTGAAGTACTTCTTACGACCTCCGGTGCATCACCTCTTCTTCCAGACACTAATACCAGATAAAGACACAAGAGAGGTGAGCTAACATGTCTTCCCCTAGGGATTAGGTGTTGTTTGTATAGGCCTCACGTGAAGTTAGTATGCTAAAAGGAGTCCATGCCTGAGAGAACAGGCCCAGGATGAATTCGTTATTTTTATCTTTCCTCTTGTGGAATCACCTAGTGTAGAGTCAGACCTGGGTTCGAATTTCACCCCCAAGGTTAGCAATTGGCACTGTAGAAGTAACTATACCTTTCTGAGCCCTAACTTTCCTAGATGTAAAATGGAGATAAGAACAGACCTCAGGATCATTAAATGACATAACATACTTAAAGTGCCTATTAGAGTGTCTGGCTCATTATAGGCCTTCATTAAATAATTCTCTTCAATCCCTATACCTTTCCCTTCCTGATACCCTTGTTACAGCTCCCATATCACAGAGATAGTGATACTCTTGATACTTCAGTGCCTCCAAAATTACTACTTTCTGAATTTTGGGAAGGAAATTCAATTTTAAAATTTTAATGGGGATGGGTCTTATTGAGCTGAGAACTAAACCAGATGCTTTTCTTAGCAGATGTAAGGGGAAAAAATTGTGGCTAAGTCCTACAATATGAAGCTATTTTTTCATTATCCATAACCATATTCTCAACATTAAGAAGACCGGCTTGAGGTAGTCCAGGAATTCAAAATGTGCATTCTTGGAGCAATCAGCAATCCAGCATAGTGTGTATCAGGCATTCATGTTGATTTGGCCTTTGTCCTCTCATTTTTACTGTTGTTTTATCTTCTAATATGTTTTCTCTCTTCTGAATGACTGTCCCCAACCAGTAGCTCATCCTATTTTTTCTTGTGGGTTTGCCTCAGGGTAGTGATGCATCAAGACATTATAAAGAGCATTTGGGGGACTTGAGAAAGTTTGTGTTTCCCTAGTCAAGGCTGTAGTGCTTTGTAGGTACTGCTCAACTAGAGAAGCTGCCAGTAGATACAAATGGGGATACCACATCCCCTTTCTGTGTAAACATTGCTTAGATTAAAAGATGGCAATTAAGCCAAACAAAAGGGATTTTTCCTCTTAATCTTTATTTCTTACTTTAAAGAAACTCGGCCATCTAGAGTTCATCTGTAAATCTTTTCTGTCTCTCCTATGATTTTTTTTTAGGCTTTTAATAAATACTTCTTCACTAGGTCATTTTTCCCCCAGAACATGTTAGCCAGTCCCCATGCTGCCATTTACCAGCCATTGGCCTTAAATCTTTGACTCTCTCTTGGTTTAACTCTAAAATAAATCATGATGACAATATTATAAAGTTATTTGACTTAAAAGTAAACACATAAACCACAAAGCCACCATACAAGGCCTAAAGAAATGTTTGATAAGTATTAGTTCCCCTTAAGTATATGAGCATCAAAAGAATTTATTAACTTTGTTTGTAGCTGTCCCCATTTGTAGGCAAGAAATTAATAATATAGATTCAAATATAGGTAAAGTACCTCACAAATAAAATAGTAATCAAAGCAAGATTTTTTGTTCTTGTCTTCTCTGGCTCTTGATTTTCATTAAGAGGTACAGTATTGGTCTCTGATCAGTGATATCAGGGTTTACTCTCAGGTGATTTGAGGCATAAGGAAAGTTCACTGGACTTCTCTAGAAGATTTTCTAGAAGGATAATTCCACCCATCTCTGTTTTATTGTTATACATAAGCTGTCAAATCTTTGGTTGATGTTTTAAGTTTAATACTTATTCTCAGATTTTAAAAATATTCTTAATATAAAACATTTTAAAATATAAAAAATTAATTACTTATGGTGCTATAGGTCAGCATTTATTATTGTTAATAATTTTGGTGTATTGCCTGCTCAGTTGCCTTTTTATACATAGGCATTTTAACTTTTTTTAATGATGGGGATTTTTAACAAAAATATATTTATTATTGTTGGTTTTATTATTTAGAGGTAGCATGAATGTAGAGGGTAGATCTGGAATTATACCACCCATGTGTGAAATCAGCTTCTGCCATTTGTTGCATGACAAATGCTTACTCTAAATCTCAGTTTCCTTATCTATAAAATAGAAATAATAATAGTACCTTTTTATTAGGGTTTTGTGAGAATTAAAGTGAGGGTAAAGTAAATGTTCAAAAATTATTCTTGTTGTTACATTTCAATATCAAAAACTTAAATATGGGGATCCCTGAGTGGCTCAGTGGTTTGGTGCCTGCCTTCAGCCTGGGGTGTGATCCTGGGGTCCTGGGATCAAGTCCTGAATCGGGCTTCTGGGTGGAGCCTGCTTCTCCCTCTGCCTGTGTCTCTGCCTCTCTCTCTCACCCTCTGTGTCTCTCATGAATAAATAAATAAAATCTTAAAAAAAACATAAATGTTTTTTTCCTTCTGATTATGAAAATAATGTGTATCAGTTATGGAAAAATACAAAAGAGCATATAAAGGAAAATCATCCATAATTCCATCCACCACCCAGATAATAGAAAACCACTTTTCACATATTCTCTCCCAGTCTTTTTACATACATACATACTTTGGGGGGATATAGGGGAAGCAACTTAACATTTACTGTTGACAGTAAATCAACAAAATGGGATTCTTCTTTTAACAATAAAACATATTTAAAACATTTTTCTTCATCTCTTTATTTCAGTATCTGATATAGTATCATAACTACCCCTAACTATCTTCTCACCTTCACTACAAAATCAACTTAGGCTAGCTATTGACTCTTTTGTACATTTTTTTCTATGCTATATTTTACTATAATATAATATTTTATATTATATGTACAACTTTAAATTCTTATTTTTTTAACTTAATATACATATTTTCCCATGTCATTAAAAGTTTTTAGGTAAGACTTTTCAGTCTTTTTATTTTTAATTATGAATATTTCAAAAGCATGGAAAATTTTGCTATCTATCTATCTAACCTATTTCAGAACCTCTTGTTTTTATGTCTGTAGAAATCTATCTTAGGGGCACTTGGGTGGCTCAGTGGTTGAGCGTCTGCCTTTGGCTCAAGTCATGATCCTGGGGTCCTGGGATAGAATTCCGCATCAGGCTCCCTGCAGGGAGTCTGCCTGTGTCTCTGCCTCTCTCTCTCTCTGCGTCTCGCATGAATAAATAAATAAAATCTTTAAAAAAAAAAAAAGAAAAAGAAACCTATCCTAATTTCTTTCTTTTTATCTCTACAGAGTAAGGGTCAAAAATTAGAACCCATTCCTCATCGAAGACTAAGAATGGTAACAAACACCATTGAAGAAAATTTTCCCCTGGGGACTGTGCAGTTTTTGATGGACTTTGTGTCACCCCAGCATTACCCACCCAGAGAAATTGTGGCTCACATCATCCAGAAAATCCTGCTCAGTGGCTCTGAGACTGTGGATGTCCTGAAGGAGGCCTATATGCTTCTCATGAAAATTCAACAGTATGAACCTTAGATGTTGATGAATCTCCTAGGGAGCCTGAACTCAGGGCATAGCTCTCTTTTGCCTAAGCTTGATTCAGCTAACCATTAGAGAGGGTGACTTAGTATGTCAGTGTTATTTGGGTTGCAAGTGACAGGAAACCCAATCCAAACTAACTTTAACAGCTGATTAAAGAGAATTTAATAATTCATGTTACTAGAAACCTAGGAATAAGACTTATTTCAGTTCAGAATGGTTACCAGAATCCATTTTTCAGTCCTGCTTTGTTCCCTTTTCAGGGTCTACATAGTAGTCTTCTTAGTTCTAGCTTTTATGAGAGAGAGAATCCACCTCCTTTATAATCACACAAGAGTTCTGTAATTGAGTCTTGTAGGCTTTAATTGGCATAACATAGAACATGAGCCCATTTTTTAACCAATCACTGTGAAGTGAGAGATAGAATATCTTGATTGGCTATATATGCTTCATAGGCTTCATCCTAGGATCCTGGTAGATAAAGCTAATGGGCTAAGAGTAATAAAGAGTTGATTTCTCCAAGGCAAAATTGGGATAGTGATGCCTTCCAAAAGAGAAGTGGATAGTGAATAGCAAAAATACTGAAGTTCCACTACCCTCAGATGGCATAGTATCATGTCAAAGGATGGGCAAGAGCAGTGAGGATAAGAGGAGGTTTCTTGTTTCTGGCATCTTTTACATCCCATCCCCTCTTCATTGAACTCTCCAGAATTCTAATTGATGTCTCTTGACTTTCAGGCTACATCCAGCTAACGCCAAGACAGTGGAGTGGGACTGGAAGCTGCTCACTTATGTTATGGAGGAAGAGGTAACATAATAATTATGAGGGTGTATCTTTTGCACAAGAAGTTTTAATTAGAAACAAATGTGACAGCAAATCTGGTAGTAAAGTCTTTGCCATTACTCCCTCCTTTTACTCTCACCCCCATAAAAAAATTCCTGCTGAAATGGTATATGCTGTCTTCCAATTCAAAATTAAGTACATTTACTTATTCCTCTCCTTCTTGAGATCCCATTAAAAAGAATAGTCAATGAATAGAAAAAGATATAAATGCATGGCAACAAAAATAAGGGGAAGGGCAAGAAACCTGAATGAAAACTAGAAGAACTAAAGGAAATGTAAGTGTTGACTGGTGAAGCTAGGGAGAGAAAGCCACAGGCTATAATATATGCGGCCAAGGAGAGAGGAAATCTGCACTTAGAGCAGAGCACTCAAGTCATCATGGGATCAAGCCCTGAAATGGGCTCCTTGCTTAGCACGGAGTTGTTGTGTTTTTGTTTTCAACTCAGAAACACAACATATATAAGAGGGTTGGAGTCAGACATAGGCTGTAAATCTGTTGAAAGCTTGTAGATGGACCTGACAAACTCTCCATTCTTGAGTACAGGAAGTTCAGTCATCAGGTTACCAAATTAATTTCAGGCAAAAAGTTAGAGGATTTATTGTCTAAAAACATTGAATGAACCATCTGTCATAAACAATGGCACCTAGTATAGAGTTAGTATTCCAGAAAAAAAAAGTTTTCTACATTCTGACTTTTAGGGATCCCTAAACTTACTTGCCAGCTTTCTGTCTGTTCACCCACAACACTTGGATGGAACAAATTACTTTCAATTTAGATGTCTGTACTCAACAAAACTATTATTCAAGTGTGAGTGTAGCATAAAGACAAGCAGGAACTTGAAAAAATATCTCCACACCCCATTTCTTTGGTTACCTAAAGGTATGCGTCAAAAGAATAGGATAATAATAAAGAGGGAGGTACAGGATCCAGGGAACACTAAATCTAATCCAAGAGAACAATGAAGAGAATTCCTAAAATTATGGTGAATAGTAGACCTAGAGAGCATTCAGTCCAGATTGGAGCAAAATAATTTAGAGCTTTAAGAATGATCTGGGAAACCACCAAGATGATAGACAAGGAAGCTCTAGACTATTGTCCTCCTATAAAGATGCCATGCTAAAAAAAAAAACAAACAAACAAACAAAAAAAACATGGACCAGAATACCTCTGTGAAAACTCTGGAGATCAGTTGAGAAGCTTTGGTACCCAGGAGAATGCATAATCAAGAAGGGACTCAATGAAAGCAGTAGGAAATTTTGTGTTATTTTGTGTGCTTATGCTTCTCCCCTCCCCAGCATAGCATGATGCAACTGGGAGAAAACCTCATATTCCCCAGGTCTCCCCTCAGTGTCAAAACAAAAGAGTAGACTTTGAGTCCAGTGCCCTGGCTTGTTAGGGAACTGTGCAAAGGACAGTTTTGTCTCACCTGATTCAGATCACCGATGAGAATAGTGGGATAATTTGGAAGCTGCTGAAAAGTGAAGTGACCACTGCCACATGTTAGAGCTTCAGGGATTTGTAGTTCCACAGGCAGGTAAGAGAAGGACAATAGCCTATGTGCTCCTGAGAAGAAACAAAAGCAAGCGATTTGGGAAATTAAGACAGATAAAAGCACAGATACAAGCCCAGAGAAAACACATACCCAGCAGAGGCCTGAGAGTCCAGAACTTTAGTCCAGGCTAATTGGTGAAGATCTTACCCTTAATAAACTCAGTGGATAGACTGGGGAGGGTATTTGTTTTTCTAAATGCATAAACCTCAGCAAAAGATTACAAGGCATACAAAGAAACTGGGAAATATGTCCTAGTCAAAGAAATAGAATAAAGTTCCAGAAACCAACCATAAAGAAACACAGATTTCTCAACTTCATGACAAAGAATGTTTTTAAACTACCTTAAAAATGCACAAGGAGGGTCCTGCGTGGCTCAGTTGCTTAATCATCCAACTCTTGATTTTGGCTCAAGTCATCATGGGATCAAGCCCTGAAATGGGCTCCTTGCTCAGCACAGAGTTGGCTTGGGATTCTCTCTCTCCCTCTGCTTCTGCTCCGCACCCAACTCATGTGCGCTCCCTCTCTCAAATAATAAATAAATCTTTTAAAAAAATGTACAAGGAGCTAAAAGAGAAGAGAGGTAAACAACTAACTGAAGCATGAAAATGATGCATGAACAAAATTAGAGTATTAAACAAAAAACTATTAGAAAGAATCAAACATATTCTGGAGCTGAAATAACAGAATTGAATAATTCACTAGCAGACTTGATGGGCAGAAGAAAACAGTCAATGAACTTGAAGAAAGGTCATTTGAAATCATTGAATCAGAGGAGCAAAAGAAAATATAATGAAGAAAATTGAAAAGAGCCTAAGGGACTATGGGACGTAATTAAGTGGACCATATATACATTATGGGAGTTCAAGATGGAGAAGAGAGAAAGGGGCAGAAAGCTTATTTGAAAAAAATAATGACCTAGAACTTCCCAAATCTGAGGAAAGAAATGGATATTTAGTTTTATAAAGCTCAACTCCACTATGGTTAAACCAGAGACCCACAACAAGACACTTTATAATCAAAGTGTCAAAAGTTAAAGACAGAATCTTGAAAACAAGAAAAAAGTGATTTACAATATAGAAGAGAGCTTGTATAAGATTTTCAGCAGATTCTCAGCAGAACCTTACAAGTCAAAAGGCAATGGGATGTTATATTCAAAGTACTGAAGGAAAAAAAGCTACCAACCAAAAATACTGTATCTGGCAAACTCATCCTTCAAAAATGAGGGAGAGCAGCAGGAGAGAAGCAACACATCACATACAAGATCTCAGTAAGATAATAAGCAGATTTCTCATCAGAAAATTTGAAGGCCAGAGGGTAGTCGGCAGATATATTCAAAGTGCTAAAAAATAAAACTCAACCAAGATTCCTTTATTCAACAAAACTGTTTTTCAAAAATGAGACAGAAATAAAGACATCCCCAGATAAACAAAAGCTGAGGGAGTTCATTTCCACTAGCCCTGCCCAGCAAAAAAGCCTAAAAGGGATCCTACAGAGTATAATGAAACACCAAATAGTAACTTGAAGCCATATGAAGAAATAAAGATGTCAGTAAAGGTAAATACATGGGCAATCATAAAAACTACTATTATTGTAACATTTTATAACATTTGGTTTTGTATATGGTTAAGTGACTAATTCAAGTTTCATAATTATTAATCTAAAAGCTAGTATTATTATAGCTTTGAAATTCCATATTTTGCTTTCTACATAATTTAAGACACTAATGCATTTAAAAGAATTATTAATTTGTTTTGTATGAAGATGTAGTTATATGACATCAACAACCAAAATAAAGCTGTAAAGGCACAGGTTTTTTTTAAGATTTTATTTATTCATTCATGAGAGACAGAGAGAGAGGCAGAAAGAATCAAACATATTCTGGAGTTTTAGAATATTCTGGACACAGGCAGAGCGAGAAGCAGACTCCATGCAGGGAGCCTGATGTGGGACTCAATCCCCGGACTCCAGGATCCCATGACTCCAGGATCCCGCCATGGGCTGAAGGTGGCGCTAAACCACTGAGTCACCGGGGCTACCCAAGGCACAGTTTTTATATGTTACTAAAGTTAAGCTTGTATAAATTCAAATTAGAATATTATAACTTTAGAATATTAATTGGAATCATGATGATAACCACAAAGACAATAGCAATAGAAATACACAAAAGGAAATGACAAAAGAATTTAAACCTTTCACTATAAAAAATCAACTAAAAATAAAAAACAGTAATTCAGAAAATAAGGAACAAAAAAGCTATACGGCATTTATTATTTATTTATTTATTTATTTATTTATTTATTTATTTTTAGTATGAATCTATAAGGCATTTAGAAAACAAATAGCACGATGACAAAAGTGCATCCTTCCTTATCAGTAATTGCTTTTTATTTATTTATTTTATTTATTTTTTTTATTTTTTTAGTAAATGCTTTTTAAAAACATTTTTTTTTAGTAATCTCTACACCCAACTTGGGGCTCAAATTTATAACCCCAAGATCAAGAGTCACATGCTCTATCAACTGAGCTCTTTTACTTATCAGTAATTGCTGTAAATGTAAATGAATTAAACTCTCCAATCAAAAGACAGAGATTGATGGAATATATTAAAACACATGATCCAACTACATGCTATTTACAAGAAACTCACTTTAGATCTAAAGATATAAGTGGATTGAAAGTGAAAGAATGGGAAAAGATACTCCATGTAAATAGTAACCAAAAGAGCACAAGTGACTGTACTAATATGAGGCTAAAGACTTTAAATCAGAAAATATTATAAGAGATAAAGGAGGACAGTACATTAATTAAAAGGTTCAATATAAAAAAAATAAATTAAAAAAAAGGTTCAATATAGCTCTAAAATATAACAATCATAAATAATTATGTATGTAATGACAGACTATCAAGATATGAAGCAAAAACTGACAGAATTGGGATCCCTGGGTGGCGCAGCGGTTTGGCGCCTGCCTTTGGCCCAGGGCGCAATCCTGGAGACCCGGGATTGAATCCCACATCGGGCTCCCGGTGCACGGAGCCTGCTTCTCCCTCCGCCTGTGTTTCTGCCTCTCTCTCTCTCTCTCTCTGTGACTATCATAAGTAAATAAAAATTAAAAAAAAACTGACAGAATTGAAGGGAAATATAGACAACTCTATATTAATAATTGGAGACTTCAATGACCCACTCTCAGTAATTAGTGGAATAACCATCATGGAAGATAATTAAGGAAAGAGAAAAATTAATGCAATAAACCAACCAGATCAAATAGTTATATATAAAATATTCTGTATTCTGTATATACATACAACAGCATACACCTTCCTTTTAGTGCACACAGGACATATTCCATGATAGACAATATGTTAGGCCATTAATTAAGTTCCAATAGATTTTAAAAGATCGATATCATACAA